ACACACACTCACTCACTCACTCACTCACTCACTCACTCACTCACTCACTCACTCACTCACTCACATAGCTGGAAGCTGGACACTAGTACTCTGACAGTCTGTGTCATTTTATGTAGAGTGTAGTCACCCGTTTTGACTCCACAAAATTCATATGTACCCAGTATTTCCAGCCCCGGATGTCATATTGGCAGACAAAGATGCAATAGTGCCACGGGGTGTCTGCATGTCTAGATCTGTTAGTAGCAGCGGTGGAAACACATCGCAGTGCTATGGTTGTCTTTTAACTCCTGCCAACAGCTGTCTTCTGGTTTGTGACTCTGTTTTAATCATCCGTGAAGACCAACCGCTCGAAACGTGCCCACACTCAAATCTATCTCCTCTTTGTCTCTGAAACAAGAGGGGAGTAGTAGCTAGTACAGTCTACCCTGGCTTCCGGGACACCGGGAATCCAACCCACGCCAAACCTGGGTAGCTAGCTTGCATACACACTGCACTAACCGCTAGGCCAAAAGGTCCAGACCCTTTGGACTGGGTCAGTTATATTAGTGGTGCTTTAACCCCGACCCACTGTTTTTATACTGTACATGTTATAGTCTTAACTTCCACTTAAAGAATCGTCCTTCTGGCCTCATTTCTGTATGACCCGCTATCTACTTTTCATTTTTGTTGCAGCGGCCAATAAAAAAAAACAGGTCAATTGTCATAAAACACGGGGAAAAATGACGTCTACTAAGTTAAACAGTATTCTGCCAAGTCGCATATATCTGCCACCCTGCAAGGTGCATATGTGATTAAATGCATCTAAAGAGGACTTGAACACAACTGTACATTTCCTTGATATAATTATAAGGCTATCTTAGCAGGCTAAAGGCTATTCTTGTGAGTTACAATTCAGAAAACACAATTTGTGAACAATATTGAAGTTCTCTGTGGTAAGCAGTCCCCAGTGCAACCAATCAACTGATAGGCAACTGTGTGTACTTTCTGGCCAATTAATTACAGGTCTATTTAGGGAATCCCAGAAGAATTGTTTGGCAATTACATTCATTTTTCCCCCACAAGAAAATGTCTTCCCCATGTGGTGCAAAATTTAGAAACGCGGTGACCTATATAGTGCCTGCGTACACCTGACTGTGATGTTTGAATTTTTAAGAGGGGCATAGTCGTAACATTCTATGATCGCTCTGAGTCTTCCACTGCATGTGAAATGTGGAAAAAGGAAAGATTCTAATATGAAACGGTTTCTACTGGAAATTCGGAAGACGGATGAAGTTTGTTGAAGCCTGAAATTGAGAAGATTTTAATCATCCAGCCCAGTGGGCTGGTCAGGCTCTGTACGACCTTGAGGATCGCCCCCCTCCCCCTTTCCCCAAGGATCAACACCTCTACTAATGCTGAGGTCACATTTACAAATCGGGGCCATGAAAAGTATGATATAAAAGACAACAAAGCACAAAGAAAGTTGAAAAAGATTAAGAATGGGGACTATTTGCGTATATTATTGATATAAATTCAAAAGTGACAGTTGATTTTTCGTTAATAATGGAAACAGCCCGGTTGGGCCCTGGTTTGGAAATGTGACCTCAGCATAAGACTGTCCCTCTGTGTTCTAAATGTAAATTGTACTGAAATGGCTAAGCTATTGGTTTATGGAAAAACTTGAAAAAAACTTAAGTGTTTTGATCTGTATGTAGAAGTATATGATGAAAGATGCCTGACTGTTCTACATTGTAAGTTCTAACTGAGGGGGTCTGTGGTAAAATTCCTTTGTGATAGGTTGGTCCTGTTGAGGAGCTAGCCATGTATACTGGCCCTGGCAACGATAAAAAGTTTGGGTTTCATACAAGCGTAGTAGTACGTTCTGCCAGCATGCTATTAATGCTACCGGTATGCTGCTAATGATAATGATGATTCATGTTGTAAATGTATCACTACATCTTTATTACCATTGAACATTGTGATACTGTTTTAAGAGTTTGAAGCATTTAAGTGATTGAATGTGTGTCAGCTAAAGGTTTAAACCCTGCTTAGCTTTAAGTTAAACTTAAAGAAACTGTTATATTTGTATTTCTTACCCAGCTTGTTACAGCATCCAAACACACTCTTATTTATGCGCAGCCCCGCTCCCCAAAGTGTCATTATACGACGACTAATCTCCACGTTTTACCAGAAATTACGGGTTTCAGCTGATGAGCCGATTCCTTAATGCATGGAACTTTGCGCAGAAAACCGGGGAGACCCATACATCTCTATAGATCAGTGCCTATGGAGCAATTGCTGGATGTAATGTATGGCCTTCGTTTCCAAAGCTTTGCCTGGTGGTATTACGTGTTAGTGGGGAGAAGTTGCGATATGATTCAGTGCCTTCATAAAGTTGTGGATCCGGGAGGCAATAGTGTAAATTCTGAGATGTCACATAGGCTGCATCACTTACGGTTAGTTGATAATGCTGTACAGGACTCTCTTTTTAGCTGTCAACTTCTTTTTGTCCTTTCAGCTTGATCTGTGTAGCTGGTGTAACTGCCTTTTGGCTGAATTCAGCGTTGAATCCAATATTACTCCTTGACCAGTTTTGAGATGACTGGGCACTGGACAGCTTTAAATTTGTCGAAAGCTTTTGTGAAAATGATTATTGCTAAATTTGTCCGTCTTTTACCTCCAGATATGTCACAAACTGTTGGTATAGCTGATAAGCTGTGTTTTCTGCGGCTCCACTCTATAGTCCATCAATGTATTGTCACTTTCTGTGGAAGCATTACCTAGATGGATGAAAGATTTACAAGTTGCTAGGGAATGATTCTGAATGGATATACCTGTACTCAAAGCGGTATTCCTTATGAGTAGACACATGAAGCAGATCGGAGTCCACCTTTGGGAGTCGCACAGATTGGCAATTTGAAACGAAGAGAAGCTCAAACGGCGATAAAACAACTTTCCCCCCACCTAACAGGCTATCTGTTATGATACAAGTAACTGCACTTTTCCAGCAAATTGGACGCTCTCTCTGGGTGTCAAAGCCCGTGCGTATTACGCGATCGGCGGGACTCCTGGCCAAACAGACCATAGAGAAGACTTTCTACTATCTAATGGGCAATCTGTTATGATGCAGTAACATATTACAGGTACAGCTAATGAGACAGTTGCTGTAGATTTGAAATAGTCTCTACAGTCTCCAATGGGTAACGATGCTGGAAAATAGTAGAAATTGGCCAATTAAATTGACTAATATGCCAGAGGAGTTAGCTTGCTAGAGAATAGTAGTTTGCAACCTGTTGGTTTGAAAACCAAGTAGTGAATATGTGTAGTGCATGATTACTTGACTCTCTTATGTTGAATATGTATGTATAGTACATACTGTAGGTCACAATTTTTTGCGGTACTTTTATCGACGTCTGTACCGCGAATTTATCATTACCGCAAACAGATAACTTGGCGACATACTTTCTTCTGTACCTGCCGCCACTGCAAATATATAGTATTGCAAACATGTCCATTTTTCTCAGGTCATGAAATTTTGCTACCGCGAATATAAAGAGATTTACAGTATTGTGAATGGTGATATGACACATGTAGGCTTTTGGCAGTACAGCATACCTATACTATATAGACACACTAAAAGTGGAAGCATGTTTATACTGTTTACATAGTAAACTAACCATAACCCAGAATGATGTACAAGGCTTTACAGGTGTTAACATTACTGAAAGCATGACAAATACCTTGTGTCATGGCATAGATTTGAAGTACAACACAGTGTCAATAATAATGTGTTTCTTTACAGTGTAGTTGCGGGTCTTTTCTTTCTCTTCTTTACTTATGAAGTAAGGTTGTATGTAGGAAAAAACTTTTTTTAACATTGTGCAAGTTTCAAGTATGGTGACATTAGAGATTGTGAACTTTGTGTAAAGTTTGTTTGAAATGTTACTGTAGGACATACAGTGTTTGTGTTGCACTTTGCCGTGCGTGTGTGTACGTGTGTGTGTGTGTGTGTGTGTGTGTAAGTGGCATTGTTGGGAGGGTACATAGGTTGTGTTGACTGGTCACACACGATGTAGACAGCCACGGGAGGGATATCACTGGAAAGGAGACAGAAAGACTAGAATAAAAGACAAGAAAGGAGACGCCAAGACGGGGTTAAGAGACAAGAAGACAAGTCTTAGACATCAAGACTCGAATCTGTGTAGAATGGAAATAGTCTCGCATGATAAGGCACTTCTCATTTAAATATTGACTCGGCAGCGGGAAGATTAAAAGGTTTACCGATTGTAGTGTTGTTAACAGTTAGTTTGTAGATCAGGGAAACGGTACATGTGATATTAAGTGTCAAGGTTGTTTTAGGGTCAGTTCTTCTTTAGCAGATTTGACTGCATTATAATGTACAATTGTTCCATGCCAAATAAGGAAGAGACATTTAGTGAATCTAATGCATTATAAACAGGTGGTTGGGAATAAAGAACTTTCAAAAATTCAGTCGTTCTCCATCCTGATGAAATCCTTATAATTATTGGATGTGTTGAATTTTGAGTGAAGTTTTGAATTATTACTCCCAGTCAAGAAATGTTAAAAGACAATGCTTTCTTATTTCTTCTGCAGTAAAGTATTCAACCAATTCTAATCAAATAATTTACAAAGTGCCCTAGAAGAAGTTTTCCTCAGAACTGTTTAAATCAAGGGTGAACAAATATCTGACCACGCAGTCATCATTGTAACCCAAAACACGTAAGTGGCTCTCACGAGCCTTGTTTTGAGGTGAATTCTGAAGTAAATAAAAAAAAATAAAAAAACTGCAGTGTTAAAATTTTAATAGTTTTTAAATGCTACTCCCACAAGAAGTGTTAAAAAGCGAAATGCTTTCTTGTTTCTTTTTCAGTAAAATATCTTTGGGAAGTGGCGCCGTACTTCAGCACTGTTGAAGTTTGAATTGTTGACTAGAGTTTTGAATTGTTTGGAATCCCGCAAGAAATGTTAACAGAAAAAATGCTTTCTTGTTTTTTCCGCAGTAAAATATCTTCGGGAAGTGACGCCGTACTTCAGACGCAGCACCGTGATCGGGGAGGTGGGCTGGGAGAACGCGTCCCCGTACGTCATCAAGGAGCCCGGCGCGGACAACAAGGCCTCCACGAACAATTTTACCGAGATGAAAACCATCCCGCTGAAGATGTGCTACGTCACCCGCAACCTGACCATGCCGGATCCCGAGCAGCGCACGTTCGAGCTGCACTCCCCCGACGGACGCAGCTCGTGCATCCTGAGGTGTCAGGACGCCAGCAGCGCGAGCCAGTGGTTCGCGGCGATACACGCCAATACCTCAATGCTCACGGCGTCGGCCATGGCGGAGGCCAACAGCAAGCTGGTGAGCGGGAGGGGGTCGGCCGGGGACAGGGAGATTAAACACATGGGATGGCTCTGTGAACAGGTGAGATCTAGTAAAGCTGTTGTTCTCTAGATCTGTGTATACGGAACATTTTACTGTAAAAATATTATAAATCTGTCTTGACACATTCATAACACACCAGCACCTGTATCTGTATAGTCAGTATGCCAGCTCAGTAACACACCAGCTTCTGTATCAGTACCTGTACAGCCGGTATAACAAATGGCTATACAGGTATAACTGCCCTTTGGGGTAACACACCAGCTCCTGTATCTGTATAGCTGGTATAACCGCCCTTCGGCGTAACACACCAGCTTCTGTATCTGTAAAGCCGGTATAACCGCCCTTCGGCGTAACACACCAGCTTCAGTATCTATATAGCTGGTATAACTGCCTTTTGACGTAACAGACCAGCTTCATCTGTATCTTTATAGCCATTACAACTTCCCTTTGGCATTAAACACCAGTTTCTGTGTCTGTACCACAGTAGGTTAACGTTTAATTGACATTCTGCAATCGTATACTAATGTACAGTACTATACAGATCTTGATACTTGCATTATTCCAGTGGCAAATTCAGCCTGTCATTGATAAAAAAACTTCCCACCCTCTCCATCGCATCAAAAGTTTGATGGCTGGATTGTCCACACCAGTCACAATTTCACAAATGACTGCATGAAAATTGCTACCAGTATCTACGTGTCTATTGCTGTATTTGTAGTGGAGACTGCCTGATTACTGGACTCATGCCAGTAGGTTTCTACAGGCAGACTTAGGGTTGTTTTATTGGCCCCAGTCTAGCCTGGTTACCAGTCTCCGCAGGCCAGCTTAGGGTGTTTTACCGGCCCCAGTTTAGCCTGGTTACCAGCCTCCACAGGCCAGCTTAGGGGTGTTTTACCGGCCCCAGTCTAGCCTGGTTACCATTCTCAACAGGCCGGCTTAGGGTTGTTTTACTGGCCCCAGTCTAGCCTGGTTACCGTTCTCCCCAGGCCAGCTTAGGGGTGTTTTACCGGCCTCAGTCTAGTCTGAGTAAATCGCTTTATGATTGCCGGCCGCCCAACATCCAGCCAGACTAGACCCAGTCTAGCCTGGTTACCATTTTCCACAGGGCAACTTGGGGTGTTTTAGTATTTGGGTCAATTTCTACTCCTTATTCAACCCAGAAGAGGGTCTGTTTAAGACAAAAATTGGATGCCAAGTAACGTCTGTGAGACTACACCTCCAGTTTGTTGCTGTTGCTAAGAGAGGTCACCTGATGGCCTACCAACTTGGCCAGAAAGATGGCGCCCTGGGAGGAAGTGGGTCAATTTGCTGCCCTTTTTCAGCATAGCCAGGTTTCGTCACACATCCCAAACAGCTTTGGTGAGGTCACGGGCTCCCCTGCTCCTAAAACATCTATCATAGCCACCACTTGTCACGGGGTGCCATGGGTAGAATTCCTAATCTCGTGACCCCACCCAAAAGCTGGTCCACATCATGCAAAGTCAGTCAGGGTCACAGGGTGTATGGAGCACTTGGGACGAAGACAAATTGTTCTGTTTTTCTCATCTGGATCATGCCATATAGGCTTTAAATGGTGTTTCCTACATCTAGTGCCCGTTATGATCTAAGCCCTCCAGGCGAAAGTTGGAAACAAATGAGTTTGAAGTTGCAAGTTGGACCTTGCCGTCATGCTTATCTTGATCGCACAGACAAACATTTTTCTGTTCAGCCACGTTCTGTGAAAAATATGTGCTAATGTAAGATTAAAGTAAAAGCTCTTTTCCGTTACCCCACATTTAGAGTATTAGCGGTCTCTGATAATGATGTTTTTTCTTCGGTAGCAGGAATGTTGTTTTCCGGACGCTTTCAAAATACGTTCGAGTCAAGGTTAGCCTACTTTGGGGTTCACCTGAACGTACAAAGCCAAGACTTCACATGTGGGAACGATTAAGGTTCTGTGGCTTGTTTGGCAGGGACATGGGAAAACTACTATAGCTTGGTAGCCAGGCCACCGTAGGCCCGCCAGTGTCTCTATATATGGAGCTGAGAGTACTGCCCGCTAGCCCAGGTCCTGGACTGGGCTAACAGGCTTTCTTCTCAACATTTGTTGTTGTTGTAAAACACCACAAACAGGCCTACAAACAACAAAACTTCCCAAATGGACGATGCAGGTAGCAACAATGTTAACAAAGCTGTACAAATGTATAAAAGTTCCTGACTATACTAGTAAAAAAAGAAGATGGAAATTTGGACTGCCGTACATTAGTCCCGAATCACATCGCAATGATGTTGTTACGGCTGTATCATCAAGTTGTAAAGCCATAGTCTGGCACCGAGAAGTATTACAGAACATGCATCAAAATATAAAAACTGCCCAGGGGTCTATTAACCTACCAACCAGCACTGTTTTGCCCTTTTTGGGGTGAACAGGTCCAACTGAAGTGCATCATTCCGAGTCTTAGTGGCACTGCGAGACTCGTCAAACGGCGGACCGGAGAAAATTAAAAGCGCTTTTACCTTCAGAAAATGGGACGTGCTTGTTTGTATCTCATGCCATTCTGTTTTTACGACCGCAAGGCAGGTTTTGCCATTTGCAGGCGGCAGTAGGTTCGCAGTACAAGGACTGAATACAGGGCTCGAAATTCATTTCTGGGAATATGTGCACTGGTGCACCCAACTTAAATTAAAATTCTGGGTGCACAAAAAATTGTTTGGGTGCACCATATAGAATTTTAGCAAAAACTAATTTTGTTTCATTTATAAAGAAAAATACTACAACAAGGATTTTCTTGTTTTTCTAACACTTAGATGTCAACAATTTGCTGTATTACTACAGTAGTATACATTTAACATCTTTACATACGTTAACCTACAAAAATGTTTGAGTGCACCAGTGCACCCACAGAAAAAAATTGGGTGCACAGCTCCTAAATTTGGGTGCACTAAGGTGCACATGTACCCAGTATTTCAAGCCCTGGAATATGCATGGAGGACGATTTCTCCTTGTCTAGGTCTGAAATCTGTGGAGTCCATCAGACTTTCAGTGTTTCCTGTCATGGCTGGAAGGCAAATACGTGTACACGAAGCTTTTAAATCCAGCTACTCCATTATTACAGAGCTCCATTACTGATACTTTTAGTAGCTGGATCGAAGTTTCAAGTGATTTATGTATCTTTTAATACTACTTTCAATCATGAAATATTCACAGTGATTTTACGCTCAAACTTTTCGCGGTGAGCTCTTACTGCGAATTCATGCATGACAACGCGAAAAAACTGACGTGTATATATTTCCATCGCATTACCATTGTATAGAAGAGTGGATTCATTCCTCAAACTAACCAACATCTTTCACACACCACAGACGTCCCTCAGTAAGTACATCTGGAGCCATATAGTTCCTGTCACAGTATGGTGTACAAGATGTCAGTTAGCTTGAGGAATGAATCCACTTTACAATATACATTCACTTACCATCGTAATACAGAATTGTTTCAACTACAAACTTGAAACACTGCAAAAACCTGACAGTTTATAGTTCTGTTCAAATGGAAATGTCAACCTGATACCAATAGTAGGGGTGACAGTTCCACCTCAAAACTGATCATAGGTACTGATTTGCACCTGAGTTGTGTGAGAATTTGAGAAAATAATCAATACAGTGCCTCATTTGCTTATGCTTGTATGTTGTGTTACTGTTGTACATTGTATGACATGCAGGCTCATTGCAAGGGTGGCAGTCCCACCTCAAATTTTGAAACTGAAGCTAGATACTGATTTGCACCTGTGTTGAGTGAGAAAAAAATTAATCTAATATAGTGCCTCGTTTACCTTGAGTTTGACTTGACTTTATTTGGATCCCAATTTAGCTTTAGCATTTAGCTTAGCCATTCTTCCAGTGGTCCAATGTTTACATGTTGTGTTGCTGTTTGTTACATATAGGCCCATGGGGAGGGTGGCAGTTCCACCTGGAAACCAGTGTTTGCCGCCTTGACACCGACAGACCTGCTGTTGTACGATACAGTTCCCTGGAGTCGGGAGGAGTGGGCCATCCCTGTGCAAAGCCACCCGCTGTTGGCAACAAGGTAAGTAAAGCTGTGTACATAGACAAATTTGAGGTACAGGTATTGGTACATGGGTTTAGGTACGGATACTGGTACATGTACATGGGTTTTGGTATAGGTACTGGTACTGGTACATGGGTTACTTAGGTACAGGTACACGAACACAGTTTTAGGTACAGGTCTGACCTATATGTGTACCTGAACAATTCGACAAATTAACATGTTGTCCTGAACTTCTTAAAAAATGACAGAAACAATAATAAACTTTTAAGGTTAACTTTTTGTTTATATTGAGAAATTGTGAGTGAACAAATATGGGAGCCATTGTAAACTAAATAGAGTGGCCCCTAGGCTAAAAGCTACAGAAGTCAGTACTTCATTTTAAAGCTTTGTTCTTCTAGATCTACCTACTGTGTCAGTGACCATTATGTTTAAATCAAACAACATGTCCTTTTGATGTCATGACCTAGTGGTATCCTCCTAACAAAGTTTTATTAAGGATGACAATCCCAGTTCAAGGACAGACCATCAGATGTTGACCCTTTGACCTTGAAAATGGGGGAGGGGGGCTTTCCTGGCAGCCTAAAGTAATAGCAGAGTTTGTAAACTAATCAGTTACAGTCTCTGTCCAGCATCCATGTTGTCTGCTTCTGTTTTAATGGTCCGTTTTGACTAAGAAAAACCAAGCCAAAACAGACTTTGTATATGTACTAGTACCAGATTCCTCGTAATAGCCATGTACATTGGGGAAACTGGAAGGCAGGTTGCATTCACCACCCAATAATCCACCTCATTCCAGTTCCATTTTTCACTGACCCAACTGTAAATGCCTTAAACCACACACACATCATGCATGGTTTATCGAATCTTACTTGGTCCCATACTCACTCTGGGCCTGTCCAAATGGTTGCCTACCCATTTTCACACCGTCCAAATTGCCTTTTACTCTGTACTCTATCCCTCTCGGAGCCACTAACCATGGAAAAGCCAATGTCGAAAGACCATGGGACCTAATTTGCGGGAAACAAGCTTGCTGCCACCCAGTTATTGTTAGTAACGCTGGTGTGAATGCGAAGAGATGAGGAACCTTAGCCAGAATTACATTTGTTCATCAAAAGCTCATAAAGCTACTACAGGTGATGGGAGTAGTAATGGCACTGGAAATTGGGCTCATTTATCTGGCTTGTCCAACTCAGTTCACAAGTTCTGTGATACTTTGTAGTAAAATAAGACTTCAGCAGCAGGGTAAAAAATAGACTGGCTTTGAAGCAGGTACTAGTACAGTCAAAATTCGTTGTTGACAAAATTGTTATCATCTTTTGCATTGTTTACAAAGTTACTAAGTGACATTCAAGGTTTTTCTAGCCTGGGTGCCAGATGCTGGCATTTTATAAGGGATAGATAGAAACCCTAATGTCCGCTACAAGAGTATCCCCCTGCCCCAAACCCTTCATCTTTCATTTCACGAGGAGATAATTAGAGCCAGGGTGCCAAATCAGGGTTTGTGGGGCGTATGGCTTCTATGGCCGAAAGGATTCACTTACTTGCGGTAGTAGCTGGCACCCAGGCTAACGTTTTTCTAGTTTTCGAACTTGAAATGAGACGTCACACGGTTAGTTATTTTTGTACGGGAGCCCTAAAACGGATGTATGGTAAGTGACAACAGATGATTGGGTCGTGATACAAGGTACGTTCCAAGAATGGTAAGGATTGCTGTTCAGTATACATGAGCCAATGAACCTATAGAGATTGGCCTAGTTACAATGCATTATTGTTTTGACAAGATAGATTTAGTTGAATTGTCATCAATGTGCAGAAAAATTTGTAACCAATTCCCTGGTGCTGTCCATTGTACTATAAATTCATTGACTTTGACAGTGTTTTTATTTCCTGATTGGAGGAAAATGGATTTTTTCCTGGGCCAATGTTTTGGATTCGTTATTAAAACAATTCTAGATCTGTATAGACATACACTGTACATGAATCTGCTGTGGCGAGGTCACTGCGAAAACTCTGAAAGTAAAACTACTGACAAAAGTTTCAAGACCTACATTATACATAATGATAACATACTGTAAATCATTAGTTTTTGTGGTTCTTTTATATTCTTGTTTTTCGCAGTCTGCAAACTTATTATTACAGCAAAAATAATTTGCTGACTTTCTTTTTGCTTCACTTTTTCCGCCACTGCAAACATATAGTTCCGCAAACATTTCCACTTTCCTCAGACCACGAAATTTTGCTACCACAAACATAAAGTGATCTACAATAGTCCTCATAATCATATCCAGCCTGTGACTGGTAGCATAGAGGGAATATTTTACATGTATCATTGCCGGCCCCTTTGTTTATCCAAATGACAGAAAACCTCTTGCAATGCTCCAAAGTATGACAGGATTTCTTGATCCCACACATACCAACCTCTCAGTCTCACATACTTTAAAATGTGGAGATTATGAAAACCCAGCCTGGTTTTTATGCTGTTACTAATGTCTATATTATTGGAGACTGTCTTGAATGTTGGTCACCTTCGTGTATAATGTTAATAATCTGTAACGTTTATGTATAAGTATTGTCAGTACTTCATGGAGCATAAGTGAGTAATATTATTGGCTCTTTTCCATCGCCATAGCTACATAACTTCATTTTCCACAAGTTACCTGATACATTGCTGGATTAGGATCGGTATGTGACACATGTGGAAGTTTATAATAATATAACCACATCATTTCTGTACCTACCACATCACATGCCAAAAGCCTGGCAACATTGGCTCTACTTACATGTAGCTCAGGCCTCTAGCCAGCACCATTGTTTCTGTCAATTACCAGAACTTTGCAGCATGTGACGGAAATGTTTTTAAATATTAAAACCAATCCGTCAACCTTGACAGACAAAATTAACAAGACCTGGGTAAAGATATGAAAACATCCAAAGGACCACTGAGAACCACTCCATCTGAACACCATCATTTGCCTCTCAAAATGCGGGAAATTGCATTTTTGAAGGCTTGAAAATCCTAAATTTCCTAGGGTAGCATGCCTCAGGACCCCCCTAGATTGCAAGCCTCTTTGGCATCTCCTCCGATCCCCAAAATCCGAAGATGAACCTGGGCTGATGGAAAAAAAATTCAAGCTGACTAGAGCCCTGACTTAGCTACATGTAGATCCGACTTTTCAAGGCCAATACTTATGCCTCTCTCGGCCTTACAACTGTTCCACAGAGCCAGCTATAGCACCCAATTACACGCCTCTTGACAATGGTTTATTATCATTTACTGTGACTAATAGAGGCCGAGCCAAAAACAGAGGCTGCAGCCTTCTACATAACCATGTGGGTCAGGACGGGCACTGCATACTGTGGCGTCTATTTGAATGCCAATTATTTTCCGGCCCCTGCATGCATTGCTGAAAGACCAAATGATACCAAAAAAAGTCAAAGTAAAATACGAATTTAAGAATAAATCTTTAGTTGTTTTATAGTGATACCAAGTTTTAATTTGGTCCCAAAAAGTGATAACGTTTGGACATTCACAGAAGACATGCAGGTATGTTTCTTCCTCTTCATGGCAGAACGAGCACAAAGGGGTCACTTGAAGTTTGTTTCAATCATGTTGACTGAGAAATTGAGTCTGTACGGGCATCGAAAAGTGCATTTTTCCTGAGCTGATGATATCCCTGTGTGTGTGTCAGCTCAGGAAAATATGCAGAAATGCAAAAATAAAACACAGAGATGCAAATCGTCTGCCGGGACTGGCTTGTGCTGACTTTTCGGAGACGGGGCATTGAAATTTTAAATGTATCAGGAGAACTATGCTTATTCATTGTAAATGTGTCTGTTAGCCAGGTAATACTATTACTAGTTATGTCAACTACAATCAGATAAGGTTGTATTTTGGTGTCATGAGCACTTTAAGCATTAGCATGTGGAAGAGTGTACCATTGCAGTCGTGTTCAGCATGCTGAAGTTTTTTAGTGATTCCAATCAAATTTTATTGCTCAAAATGCATAGGCACCATGTGTGTCTCCCTGAATGGAGTACAGTGTTCAAAAAACAATTACAGAGACAGTATCACAATGTTGTGACACAGACACAATGTTACCGACAATTCTGCAAGCCAAAGTCATTCGTAATCATAGTTGAAACAGACAAAGAAACAACAGATACCTCAATCTCTTGTTTGGATCCAAATTTACTACTGGTAGTCACAGAAATGCTGATAATGAATTTGGAGTATGAATTATCCTTACTAATACACGTACCGGGACGTTTATTTTTTTTCGCCTTGAAATCCGCCCGGTACGTTCTTATTTTAGACGGTACGTTTATTTTTTTTCAGAATCCAAAAAAGTTCCGGGCAAAAAAGTACGTAACAGTAGAGTTAAAATGTCACGAAAAACACATGTCTGGACGTAAGAAGGAAGTTCCTGGTACAAATAATACATTTAAGTCTTTTTGTAGTAACTTGTTGCGGTATTCTAGCGGGAACTTTTCATGTTTTGTTAGTTCTGCCAGTACGCAAGAAGATCCGACAAGACCGGGGGTGACCGCTCCGGTGTTGAACGTCCGTGAATAAACTAACTCTCGTGTGCCTTTTTTTTTGTTGCCCCGAACATCCACCCGGTATGATCTCATTTTGGACGGTGCATATAATAATTTTTCAAAATCGGGGCATAGTTAACAGCATTGAAAGTACATGCCCTCTTGGAGAAAACATTTTTTCTGGGTGCACGTTTTTGGAAAGCCACGATGCCCGGACACAGCCCAAAGTAGCGGCCACTTTGCAACATGTCAAATATGCATGGGCAGAACTTTACTGACACCAAACGTACGGCAGATTTACTGAGTCATCGTACTTGTACTTATGTAGGGAAAAGATCACCTCTTTTTTTGAAAAAGGTAAGTAATATTTTGGAACACGAAGCAGGTCGGAGATATGAGCTAGCGTTACTAGAAATAATTCGGGGTGAGCCTGGAACATGTGCTTGCACATTACGTGTTTCAAGTATTCCTTTTTCCAATGAAAATATGAAAACAATACCAGACAACAGTGTATTTTAGCACAATAAATCGTATTTCTCACAAGAATTCCAAAATCCTACCACAGAAATGACAATTCAAGCTGGAAATAGTCCGTTCTGACTGGAGCACGTAAGGAGTGAAGACTTGAAAACTTCCCACGATCATTTGGAAGAGCCTACTTTGAGTATGGGGAAGCTATGATTTTTAAATGTGAATAAAACTCTTTCTTAAAAAATCAAATATGGATGTTACATTGTGGAACAGTTGAACAATAAGTAAAAGGGTGTTGACATGACAAAAACTTGCAATCTATTCATATCAAGTACACATCAAAATGTTTTAAAATGTTATTGTCCCCCTACTAGAGAATGAACCATTCTTCCAAGAACTTGTGGCCCCGCCTCCCATCATTTGCATACTAACACAAACTTCAAAGCTTGCTACATTTTGTAAGTGAAACCTGAGACCCTTGAGATTGTGGCAGTGTTTCAAATTGTTGCTATTCTCGTGTGAACTTTGTGTGTGACTTGTGGATTGTGACAATTGTTTGAAAACTGATTGAAGTTTTTTTTTAAAGGTATAAAAAATGAAATACCATTCAAAATACTAACATTATATTCTATATTTGATTCTTTTCCCTATGGCTTTTTACACATTACTGCAAATTTGTATAGAGCATGTAATTTAGCATATTGTTAATTTTTGTTCAACTTCAAACTCTATTCTTGTAATTTTTCTTAACCTTAAAAATCAAGGACTCGTATTCCAAAACTTGATAGCATTGTTCCTGCTCAATGCATGCATGCAATGCAATGATCAACAACAAATTGTGTGAACTCAGAGGCAGATCTCAAGTAAGAATGTAGATGGATAATGTCATTAGACTGCACGACATATACAAAGGCATGTACTTCTCATTAACCTGTAAGAATGCAGGCTGATAATTTGGTAATTTTCCAGGGGTATGTTTATTCTGGGGGGGGGGATATTTATTAGGTTTTGAAGATTTCTCGGGAGTACTTTTATTCCGGGGGTACCCCGGTATGTTTATTTGGGACCTGTGTTTGCAAGGGACACATACATGTACACCGTGAGAACACATTTTAGTAGCATAAACATTGCTTACACATTTCAATTTAAAATTTTCCGGGGGGGTACTTTTATTCCAGGGGGTACTTTTATTACATTTTGAAGATTTGTCCGGGGGGTACTTTTATTCCAGGGGGTACTTTTATTCGAGAGTGAGAGTAAGTCTAGGGCTTCGCTTGATTTAAAGCTACTGAAACAGACTTACAGTGGCAAAGTACAAGGTTACCTTGCATTGCTTTTAAACCTGACCCGATATTGTGGTCCCGCATTGGTAAGCAAAGAACAGGCTTTTAGAGGTATATCGGAGGATAAAGGAATACGGATAGAAACACCCTACCAGGAACAACAGTTAATCCCGACAAAGCAGTTTTGCCATCAGCAAGCGGTCACTCTTTCATCTATCTAGATGACCAGGAGATTATGTGTATCGATTGAGGAGTTATGCTGTGGATGGCAATCTCATATGTATGGATGGAGGCTCGAATGTGCGAAGCTGCGGGGGTAACTAGATATTGGATATCACGGCATGACCGGGTCAATCCCCCTACACAGGCATTGTCGAGCGCCGTTTGAATCTATCGATTGCTTTGTGTGTGGAAAAGATCCCTTGCTCAGCAAGATTGTTGTGGTAGCAAGGTGGGATGGGCACGGGAATTTGTCCTGCCATATAAGTGTAACGTTATTGATATCAGTCTGGGGCGTTAATGACGTTTTGTTGAAGCAGGTCAACAGACAAGTTTTTGGGTCTGAAATTTAATTAACCCCGACACCCTTGATAATTGTACGGGCCTGAACTATTGTCAAGTATTGATTTTGGAATTGGTGATGAATTGCCCTCGGATTCAAGGGTAGTTGTGACTAGTGCTGCATACCGGTTCACTGGACTTGGATCCGGACTTAAAAAATGTTTAGGTTCAAGTCCAAAAAAACCTAAAAGTCAAGAACCGAGTCCGGACTTATTACCATAAAAGACCATTTCACATACCCCTTTTCTTTCCAAACCACCTAAAACCTCCTGTAGATTGTAAAATCTTTGCTGCAAAATGAAGAAAACATTGCCATCGGGCATCGTCAAGTACCAGCCTCCATGTTATGTGGCCAAAGTTTCACCCAGACAACATTGCAAGGTTGCCAACATGCAATTTTGTATGTGCCATGGGTTTACCTAAACCTCTGAACTTGAATCCGGACCTGAACCTGAAATTGGGTTTAGGTATGCATCACTAGTTGTGACTTTGAAAGCTGATGTTGAGCACAGATCAATATGGGGTTTGGAAAAAATCTTGCTTTGGATCACTTTTGATTTCTTGTTTGACAGTGTTAAGCAATATCATAAGTTGCTGATGTCGATCGTTTTCAACACAATAAAAGTCAATAAAGGTAATCGGATACTCATAGATATAGGTACCAACTTTTCTTTAGATTGTTCAATGATCGATGGATGATTCTTTCTTTTTAAAGGAAAAATTTTGTTCTTCAAGGTAAGACACTTACTTCCCCCATCCCTATGCTGACAGAGAAGACAGACACTATGTGCAGAATTTAAACGTTTATTAATATACTGTACCTGGGAAATTCCTCCAGCTCTTTTCCACAAGTACCGGTACAATGATCAGTGGACTATGGCTTAACATCCGGTCCCCAGGACCCTTTCTAGTAGTAGTAGTGCCTACATGTATGTTGTGCGAGCAACAAAAACCGAGATTCAAACTCCTTACCTCTTGGTCCAGGGGCAGGGTTGCTAACCACTGGACCATGCACTCTACGCTATGTGTGACAGGGGCTTAACGCAACTGTCTCTGAATAAAAGTTCTAAAATGGGAACTATGCAGCTCCAGATGTCTTACTGAAGGACGACTGCGGTGTGATAGATGTTGGTAAGCTTGTGGAATGAGTCCACTGTACTTTCTACTGTGTCTGTTGCAGGTGCTCTGCGTATTTTGACTCCAGGGTGGGCCACACGGGAACCACGCCCTCCCGGTCACCAGGCGGGGCAGCCTCGGGGAGAGATCTGGCTTTTGGGACAAGAACGGGATCCAGGTAGGTATTATATATTCTTACCACACTATCCAGTATTTTTTTGGGGGGTGGGGGATTTTAACATATATTTCTCCCATGCCCACTTGCCCGAAATACACAAATCTCATCTGTGCAGAAACTAAATTCTGTAAAGTCAATGATTTTTGTGGAGACCAGCCCCTCAAACGTTATTGTAAACGTAATAATCAGGAACTCTGGAGGTAACACAGTGCCCAAGGCAAGGACAAATATATTGAATCAGTCATTCCTCTACTACACCATCTAACTGTAGAATAGTCAAATGCAGGCTTAGTGTTTTTCGTGTGCCATGTCCTATTCGTGTATATATGTATGCAATTTCCCTGTGTTTATTCTTGTATCGAACATGTAAAGTCGACGCAATTCAGGAGTACTTTGTACACCTGCTGTGTCAATTGATTTTAATAAAATTGAAGTTGAAATTGAAATCAATATATTTATGATTTCAGACAAGGCATTGAGGCTCACCTGTTCAGAGTGGAGACCCAGCGTGACCTGGCCGCCTGGACCCGGCTTATCGTCCAGCTGTGTCACCAGGCTGCTGAGGACATGAAGGAGGTCGTACAAGGTCAGGGTCTCATCTTCTTCTTATCTGTTTTTGTTTACTGAAATTTATCACGTGAAATTTGTGGAAGGAATGACATTAACAGTGTCACGGTCATTGGTCAGTGTAATGGCCAAGTGGGTTAAGTGTTCGCCTTGCATTAGGCAGGTTGTGGTTTCGATCTTCAGCTGAACCATACTGGTATAAAATGGTACATACTGCTTTCTTTGCTTAGCACTCAGCATTTGGGAGAGTGTGGGAGTTAAACACACACCACTAGCAATATGAACTAGCCCCCTGCTGTAATGATTGCACAACTGTGTGGTCCAAGGACTGCAGAAAAGGAGATGGGCACTGCCCTATGCACCATATATAGGTTTGAGAAGAAACTTTGAAACGCAGAACCTTCAGACCCTAAGTGAACAACCCTAACCACAAGTTACCGCCTGACATTGTGTATGTACTGGAAGGTCAGACTGGTGATACATGTACCTACAAGTCTAACTAAGGGAACAGTCAAATAGTAGTTCAAGCTATAAAAGCAACATATATATATATATAATACTGGGCATTTTACTTTGTTGCCTTACAACAACTTCAAGAGGCTTAGAAAAACAGTCAGGATGCACTAGTGGCAGTCAAAGCTTAGTGAAAGTAAGGGTTAGGCTTGTAATGCCGTGCATTTTACTTTGCTGTGTATCGTATAGCAACTTCAAGAGGGGCTTAGAAAAACATGAATGCCCTGGTAGTTAAGGTGTGAAAAAGGTCAGACATGTTATACTGCATGCATTCAGTTTTATGTAACAACTTCTTTGAAAAGCAAGTTGACTGACACTAACAGTCTTTTTCATTTGCTGCTCTTTGCCTATGGATATGTCAGTTGCTGAATGGGATAAAGAAATTCATTTGATGTTTTAGGAATCCACCAAAAAGCCTTTTCATTGCACTGCTCCCCTCCCGGACTTGTAATCATGTTTTTATGCGTTGCTTGGTGTAAGCCCAGGGCTAGACTTTACTCAGAATGCTCTACTTGAAAGCCCATAACTGCCCACTGCTGTTCCACCCTGGCAGTCTTGGAGAGGGAGATGTTGAATTCTGTAAATTCACTTATTTTTACGGGGACTTAATTTTGTGGTTAGAGGGCAAAGACGCTGTCTGGGTGTTGTTTTGTGGTTGAATTGATAATTCTGTAGAACACTATCAAATTTCTTTCAAATTGGTTTATTGCACAAAAGCATATTGCAGCCTGACGGCTGAATTGCATGCTCATTTACAATGGGATGATACACTTTGACTGGATTTTTAAAACAAATACAATTCTAAAAACATTCTAATAGTAGTGGTGCGCAACAAATCTAAAACCCCACTAAAAGTAATATTTCAAATATGTAGTTAATATATGCAACTTAGTCGACTTATAATAACATGACACTTACTGTCCCTCTCCTCTCTACAGCATGTTTCTGGCAGGGGAGGGAGTGTAAGTTGATGGTTCACTACGAGAGTGGGTTCACGCTCATGGACAACTCCAATCCCAGCGACTCGGAGTCGGAGGTCCTGTGGAACTTCCCGTTCGAGCGCATGCGGATGTCGGCAGACGACGGGGTGGGACGGCTCTGGCTGGACTTCGGAGGGGCCGAGGGGGAACAGGTAGGGTCGCTTGGTCAGGGAAAGTTTAACTGAAGACACAAGAAAATTGGACTCACTGTATCAGTGAATAATTTCATCAGGTTGGTTAATGATTGAATAGCAACATTCTTTTTCACAACCACTTGTTTAACAAGAGCCAACGTTTCGATGACCGTCTGTCATCTTCATCAGGGCAACTGGTTTACTGTACACAGAAGCTAAGTGTTACTGGTTTACTGTGCACTATAGCTAGGTATTAATTTTAACAATGCGGTTCCATATTGTTACAACAATAGTGAGATATGCAGTTCCAAATGTAAAGTATTCCTATGTAGAATAGATAGAAACATAGATAGATAGAAGAACTTTATTGCACGACATATAGATAGATGGATGGATAGATAGCTATAGGTAGATAGATAGATAGATAGATAGGTAGATAGATAGATACATGTATATTTATATAGATAGATAGATGAATAGATAGATACATGTAGATAGATAGATAGAGAAATAGAGATAGATAGAGAGATAGAGGAACAGAGATAGAGATATAAATATGTATCTATACATGCGTACATGTATAGATATGTATGATTGAAAACCAACAATACTGAGCTTTGGTATTCAATGCTATGGTGCTGATTTTTGTCATTTCTTGCCTCCCACTCACAGCAATTGGACATGTGCACAGGCCCTAAGCCAATCGTCTTCATCATCCACAACTTTCTGTCTGCCAAGGTCACCAGGATGGGGCTCTTCGCATGACCTTGACCCTTCCAGCAGAGGTCGGGATTTGTGGGGGGGGGGGAGAAAAATATGCACCAACCACCCCTGTTCGGGAGTGGTTCGATCTGTGCCATGACGCTTTAGAAAAGCCGGTAAATTTGGACAAGTCAACAGGTTCTGCAGATTAGGTTTTGAGAGAATAGTTCTCAGAAGTTCATTTGTTGACAGTGCTATACTTTCTGCCATTCAATTAGAATCAACTCATATTCAAGTTCATCATCATAGCATTCTTGAAAAAAATAATAGGGTTGTGAATATGATTCAAGATGGTGACTGCTGTTTCTGGATAATTGGTTCAAGGTTAATATTTGAAATTGTAGTAAAATAGTTCATGAATTCAAGTGGGAAAGTTATAATATTCAGGGGTTCTGGTACTAGTGGGAATTTTGTTCTAAATTGTTCGCATTTGAATTGATTAACCTTTGCAATGTAATATGATATGGCTGGCTTCATAAGCCATTTCACAGTTCCGAGTGCTCATGTGCGTTCTAAGGTCAAGGTTCAAGGCCCCTCCTGGCTCCTATAGACAAAGAATAGCCAGAGGGCCTTAAACTTTGGCCTTAGAGTTAGACTGCAATGTATCATGACTGCACATGCACAATAGGAACTGTGAAACGGCTTATTAGAATCCTGTTTGTGTGTTGGAATGAATGGTAACAGCTATAGGAAAGACTTGATTTTATGTGTGGAATTTCAAAAAGGCACTTTTCTACAGTTTGCTGACTGAAGCACAGTCCTATTTTAATTGAGTTGATCCTTGTGCAAAATGTGCTTCTTAAGAATTGTCACTAACACAAGTTTCTTGGCACCCAAGTGGTCACAGTAACATTACATTCCATCTCAGTGAAAACTAGCCATATGTCCATCTTTGCATATATTGTATTATATGTTATTAATTATTATTGTTAAATTGATTATTGTTTAGACATAATCGTTATTGTTTTATGACAGATAATTTGGTTGGTGGGGAAAAGAATCTATATTTTAGTTTTTATATTTTAACCTTCTTAATGTCAACCAATTTGGGTTTATAACCAGCCCATGACATATTGAGGGTTAAGGGTATGTTACTAGTTAATGTTTCGAAGGGTATGTTTTATATTTCATTTTGCGGAAACTTTGCATGTACACGTATTATCGATTATGTGCTCACAAAATGTTCTTCCTTTTCTTAAGTAGATCTATTATCGACTTTTATTGTCTTCCTAGTGGTTGTTGTGTGCAATGTCCTGCAAACCACAAGGCCCCTTCTTCACTAGACATACAAATGTAGCTGAGTGTCTGTGGAGAGAGAAAAAATGGAATTGTCTGACCCTTGGTTTAACATATTGGAATGTTAAAAGTATGATTCAAAAGGCAACAAAACACACAAGATATTAAAAATCTTGTTTGTGTATGAAATGTATTCCGCAATCTCTCAAATCTTTGGTCATTCAAGAATCACTCAGCCATCCCGGCTTCTAGTGGGCAGGGCGTGTAAATGATAACTGCTATAGCAGTAGTTGGGCATGTACTTTTGTAGGACATTACACACAATTAAACGTCTATCCCTGCCACCCCACTCCCAGGAAAGGAGTCGTTTACAAGCAGCAGTATCACTAAAATCAAGGCAGTGTTAGAATATCCACGTTCATTTTACAGCACTTAACTTTCCTTTTGTCAGACAATAATCTTCAGGGAAAGTCGAACTGCTGCATCAAAAGGGAAAAAAAGTCTTCAAAAATTCTTCTCTCTGCTTGCAAGAGAAGTGGGAAGTACTCCTTGCGCCAAGCTATCACAGTTCTGTGCCAAGTTGATTGTAAATTGGGTTGTGTGATCTCGGTTGAAAGGTGGTCATTCTGATGTCCTCTACAATGCTCAGAAGTGTGTTACAAGCTTTGGCTGAGTCCGGTGCTCGTATCAGAGGCGTCAAGATTTCTATTGACGCACAGATGAGGATGCTGTTTCCCTAAGCCTCAAATCTTGCAAGTAGTCAAAACTGACTGATCAGAGTTTGTGCAAAGTTGTACCAAGTGATGGCATTTCACTGAACTGTTGTAGACATCCTTCTACTGCTCTGCAATTTACCACAGAAGTGTGGGTGACACTCACTGTGCTGATCTGTGCAAGTACCGAACGCAAAATTCATGTAAAATTACGGGCGTATCGTCACTTCTCTGCAGTCTATAGCCAGCTCTTGCCAAAGCTCTGAATATCCACGTTGTAAAGAAAAGAAAAACACAACTTGTCTTACGTCTACAGTGTTTAAAACAAGGCTACATCCGTTCCAGAGACATCTAATGACATGCACCTCAATATGTACAGGAATTCAGAAATCAGGCTTTACTAGTAATGCTGCTGCCCCCCTCCCCCAGAAAATGCATCTTTCCTCATCTATGACAGTGTGTGTCAGGTAATGTGGTAAGTAGATAGCCAGCTGTGTCTGAAACGGTATCAACGTCGATGTGATACGTATTATAAACGGGTACGTGTACATGTGCATATCAGAGGTCCACTTGGACAATAAGCTCGACCATGTATCATAAGGCTTCGGTGTAGACTTGGAAAGTATCTGGTAGATATTATTGTTGATACAACTGATACCAACGTATGGCCTGCAGCGTAATACATGCAATGAATTATATATATAATAGTACAAGCAGACATGTGTAATCCAGGGTTTACATTGCAATCGAAGTGAGTCATATCACGAAATTGTCCCGTCTTCCAAAAGTGCCTAACCTGGAACCTTGTAGTATCACCTGTGTTGAAATTACTGGAAAATCCCCAATGCTAAGTAAGGGGTCGTTCATTAATCTGCCCTACAGGGAGCACAAACAGTGAAATCTGTAGTGAAAGGAGGATGAGAAAGGAGATATATTTGAAAGTTTTCAGTCTTTTTGGGGGGTGGGGGAAACTTTCCAGATGCTGTAGCTACTCTGAAGGCAACAAGTGTGTTGATGTTATGTGAAAAGGTCCATTTATGTTAATTCTGGGCATCATTTATGTGAAGTACATGGAAACAAAATGTCCCATGAAAACTAGTAGCCTGTGTTACGTAATCTCTCACTTGAGTGTTTTAGGCCTTCTTCGCGGGGCCTGACCAGTGGAGGGGCTGCTAGAAGCTTGATTTAGCCAGGCTAGAAAAAATGACATAAAGATACATAAAGGATAATTGATACATATTGGGCTTCCAGGTCCTTCTCAATGTTTCTGCTGAATCTTCCAAGTGCCTACATTCATACCTGCAGTACCTCGCTTTGTTGCTAGGTGGTGTTGCAGTATAGCTCAACTGGGCTGTGTCATATCACTGTTTTATGTAACTGACAATAGATGTTTCAGGCTGAGTGATTGCTCATAGGTCAGTAGCTCTCAACATAGCATAGGGTGATGATTCTATTTTATTCAGATGTCAGCCATGTGAATGTGTGTGTGTGAATATGCAAATTGTTACGGCCATTGAATGATGATTGTCGTCTTCCATGTTCGAAACTATGCTGGGTTAGTGTTAGTTCACTCATGCGTAAAACACACAACCAGTCGCACAGACAACAAACAGGTTAAATCCTTCTGCAAGCAAGAATTTATGTACGCCAAGGACTCAATGTAAATGACAACAACTCTAAAAAAAATGCTTCCACCCTGAAAAAACATCCCACATAATGAAATGATATTTGTTTCTTGCCACATTGCATGTACTATAAGTCTCTTGTAGATGAAGATGAATTCATGTTGAACAACATTATTATTATCATTATTGTCATTATTATTATTATTATTTACAAAGAGAACATTGTTTTATTGTAAGGGCACACATTGTTATTATTAATGAATATTTATCGAAAAGAAATTACAATGTTTAAGTCAAATACGTGTATTGTTTGGGGCCACCTTGATTTTTTATTTTCATTCTTGACATCGTAGTAAAATGGTCTGTAGAGCTCTGCATGGAAGGGATACCTCCTTGGTCTTTTTGTAGTAGAAATAGCCTCCACCAGACTAAATACTCGGCTGAAAGATAGTAAACTTTAGCTTAATACAGAGGATGATTTGCCAGACAACCATTGGGTGACATCCGTTTCCAATCAAAAATGTTACCCTTTACTTAGCCTCTACCAGGCTTCGGGAGATGGCTGGAAAGAGTAGAAATTGGCCAAATAGAGAGATAACATGCCAGGGGAGTACCATTTACCGTTTGCAGCACTGTACTTTCTAGTGGACCAACTCCTCTGGCATGTTATCTCTCTCTATTTGGCCAATTTCTACTCTTTCCAGCTGCCTTCCGAAGCCTGGTAGAGGCTACTACCCTTTATTTCAGGCCTGTGCTCCAGGCCAAGTATTTGCCCTATTTTGACTGAATTCTACCATCTATAACCCCGTCAGAACGCCTGGTGGAGGCTAAGTTGGATTGCCTCACCCTCACTCTTACAGTAAGTCTTTCTCCATCTAACCTGACGTGAAATGCAATTGTAACAGAATAAACTGTGATGGCACCTCAAGTGTTTCAATGTGTTGTTTCTTTTATGTTTGTAGGTAGGTTTGTATCTTAAGCCATGAACATTATACATGTATAGGATATATATGTGCAAACATGAATATGTATATATGAATTGGACTTCTACGCAAGAGGAGTGAAGGAGGTGGTCTACATAAGAGCTCACAGACCTACCCTGAACAAAGACGGGGGGAGACACAAGTTATCTGGCACGTATGACCCGCTACTATGGTAACGTGTCTCTGACGTCACGTTCCAAGAGTAGATGGGTCCATTCCTTGAACAAGGTTGATGGAGTCAGCTGAAAATTTGGGGTAAGTTCCAATTCATTGTAGTGTTGGCAGAGAAAGTTAAGTCTTTATATATTTCATAATGAATATACTTGCATGTGACCATGTGTATAATTCAACTACTAAAACATTAATGTGAGGCAACACAAGAAATCTGCACCCTCTTGGTTTAGTTCACTGTATATTTGAGTAAACCATTCTGGACATTTTATGTATATAAACTATACACAATATAGACAACCATGCCAATAGAGAAATTGCAATACAAGAGCCAAAAGTGATTTATTCTTTGACAGGATCATCCTCAGTACGCAACAAGACATGAACAATCGTTAAACACAATGGCAATGCAAAACCTGCAATGTCATGGCGAAATCGCTTGGTGTCGCTTTTGCGTCATGGTGCTGAAAAGCCATCAAATGGATGCCGCATAAGTTCGAGCGGACGGGTGTCGCTTTCGTCTCTTATCATCACCAATCATTTTTGCAACTACACTTAGGAGATATAATGCGCCACCTTATTACCTGATTTGTCAAATCGATACCGTAAAAACGTCTCAAAATGATCCATGACATATTCACAAAAAGGCTAAAATATCTGTAATGTACTATTCATTCAATCCAGGGCATCATCGCTCCTGTGGAGGAACCCTTATGTACTCTGCGATATATCCACCCATTACTTGTACCCTCCAATTTGTTGGTGAAAACACCAAGCGTAGGCTCCAACTGAGGACATTATATACCCGATACCTTTGTTTCATTCATTCATTGCCATGTCAGCCGCCAGTATAGCTAGCTCTCCACCAGACTACTTTGTATGCAGGCTGAGGCTGAAATAAAAGCCGAAAATCGGCCTAACCTGCCAACTGGGGGATACCATGGTCGGATAACTCCCCTGGCTAATTATATACCCATTGTAGACCGATTTCTAGCATTTATTAAGCCTACAAATGAGTGGTTGAGGCTATAGTGTACAGCATCAAGCAACGTCCTGGCATGCTGCCAGCCGCCAACCAATCGGACGCTCACCCCTGCTATTGTTGGGGGCCAGCCAATCGCGTTGCGCAGGGAAAACTATCAGCCAATCAAGTTGCCTTGTGACCGCAGGCGACAACGTGATTGGTCGGTGACGGACGGCCGGCGCTAACTCAGCGAAAACGACGGATCCCAGAATAGTTTGTTTATTTCAACGTACAAACAATACAGTACAATACATTGTGGCGACGCACTTATAACTCCCCCTGGCCAGCTACATTCCTTTTTATGCCTATTTCTACAATTTATTCAGCCTGCAAATGAGTCAGGTGGGGACTAGTTGCTTGGTAAATACAAGCTGCAAGCCAGACATTACATGAACGAGGTGCTTTGAATAAACTTTTGGTCGTTAATTCCAAGCGTTCCCAGGCTGATAGACTCTTTTTGCACATTTGTCGTGATGGTGATTGTCACGAATAAAACCGTCTGGAGCCTTTGTGGATTCCTAGGTCATGTCCTTACACGTAACATAATTACAGTTTTACTTTTCGGATAGCAAAACCTGTATTGCGCAGCTAACTCCCACTGGCCAGCTACATTCCTTTTTATGCCTATTTCTACAATTTATTCAGCCTGCAAATGAGTCTGGTGGGGACTGATTCCTTGGTACATACAAGCTAGCTTCTACTAGGCGTCGGGAGGCGGCTGGAAAGAGTAGAAATCGACCAAATAGAGAGATAACATACTAGGGGAGTTGGTTCGCTAGAGAGTACAGTTTGCCGCACACGAACTGTACTCTCTTGCGGACCAACTCCCCTGGCATGTCCTCTTTCTATTTGGCCGATATCTACTCTTTCCAGCCGCCTCCCGAAGCCTGGTAGAGGGTACATACAAGCCAGACATTGCATGAAAGTATCGCTTTGAAACTTCGTTAGTTCCATTTGGTCGTTAGTTCCAACCGTTTCCAGCTTGGAACGGCAGCTGCCGCTTGCAGCTAACGAGTGCCTTAAAAGCGCGCCGGAACACGCGCAGCTTCCAGGCGTACAGAAACGGATTCATCACATGGTTCAGGCTGTACAGCACAAGTAACATCATAATCACTTCCCTAGACAAGAAGTTTCTGATACCGTATATCACGAAAACCGGAGCCGTGCAGGCCGTGAATGCGCTGAAGATGATGAACATGTGTTTGGTCTGTTTGATCACTCTTTTGGAAACGTACTGTTTGGGGTTGGCAAGGTTTTGGTTTGCTGCGGCCATCGTCACCACAGAATCTTTCACGAAGAAGTAGATCCTGGCATAAATGCCGGCAACTACAAAGAACACAACCCAATAGGATATCCCGAAGACGCTGGCCATGTAGTACGCGCTGTACGGGTTTTCGTGCGTTATGCTACAGACTTGGTATTTACTCCAACCGAATTCCCCATAGCCGAGAAACCCCGGAGCTAGCAACAACCCAGCCACAACCCACGACAACAAAACCCACAAGAACGACTTGACCGGGGTGAACAGCTTCCTGTATGTGCTTGGTGACTTTGTGATGTGCATGCATCTGTTGAAGGCAATCAGGACCATAGATAAGAACGATACGTAGATACTTATAAAGAACAAGGCGCCCTGTATGGGGCACAGGGTTTCTCCAAAAGCAGGAGCACCGATGATCATGGAGACAATTCCTGTCGGGTAGTGAAAACCGGTCATCATGATGTCACTGATGCTGATGCTCAGGATGAAGGTGTGGGCGGAGGTCCGGACCTGTGGAAATAACAGCCGTCTTAGGCCACACCAATTCAATTTGTTGGTTCTCGTTTTTTTTTTCAGAAAAAATATCAAGCGACAGGGCGAAAAAAAAACAGGTCTAGCCCCAAATGCCTCGATAGGAGCCGTGAAGTCAACACATAAGGCTGGGTTGAAATTAAACAATGAATTTTGAACTTTTAATCAAACCACTGCATTGATAGATGGAAAAACTGAAGAACTGTTGGGGCCAAAATATGTGCATTTTTTAGTTGATTCAGAACCAATTCGAATTTTTTTTGTTTGTTTTGCAAATCTGAAAAAAAATGGCCAGTGGATACTGCCTGGCCAATTTGATACTATCTTATGCCACCGTAGGATCTGCTTGGAGATTACCTGTCTGTAACTGCAGAAGGCCAGGATGACTAGACCGTTGCCGATGGTGCCCACGATGACGAAGAGGCCCGACACAAGGGGGATGATGATCCTCACGTACAGCGGTACAACATTACTGGGGTGGGCGGGAACAACAGATGCATCGGACGAGTTGCCTGAAGATTGAGAGAAAAAAAATCATCTGATTAGATGGGAAGAAAGGTATTAAAGCTAGGAAGGTAAAATATGAAAGAAGATACAGAATATATATCTTCAAGCAAATACATAATGTTTATAACATGGTCTAGCCTAACAGTATATTTTGAAAATAGTGAAAAAATACTTCTGTGTTTATTCTTATTCAAGCAATAATATGCATGTATATGTACCATGTTGCAAGCCATCTTGCTACATGTTAGCAAGCCATTTTGCTACACGGTGAAATCAAACACCAGCACTAACCATGGTGACAACCGGCATGGTGACTCTTGGAGGTATATTGGCCATTTTTGTTTGGAACGGAGAATAAACGGACCTGATAAAACAGTCTGTTTCCCTTCTGTGAAAGTAAAACTAATGACATGTCCTCCGTGTTCGTTTAGGGAGACACATGGGCCGATGCAACTGTGACGTCACTCGTGGGTCAAAGGTGTCCTGAAGCCTATACCGCCCCCCGTCCCGGTATGTATGTAAATACTAATATACGTATTGATTCTACATGTTCATCATTTGTCCTTTATTATTAGCCCCTGTTTTATAGAGAATGCTGCAGCCTACCCGTTGTGGAGTTGTTCATAAACCAGTCCAGGTCGTGATCTGTGAAATTCTCCGGAAAGACTGTCGTCGAAGCCACTACAATGAAGAGCAATGAAGACAATTCGGAGTTTAGACTTCATTATACGTATCAGTTGTGGTTATTATATAGGTAGTGTATACTGTCAACACCATATTCCAATTCGCTTTCGTTCTTCAGCATTATGTTTCATTTCGTTTCATTAATTCTTTATTTCAGGTATGAAAAACCATAAAAAGGTTACATGTGAAAAGAATACATGTTGAATCATGGAGTATCTGTGAAAAAAAGCAATCTGTGAAGTGTGTCCAAATCTTTTTCAGGTTTGTGATACACAAAGAACGAATTATAGCGTTGGACAACCAGCAACGCACTTCTATATTTTTTTCGAAAGATCTCTTACCAGATTCTGTCCAGTACGAACCATCAGGCGACACAGAAGTGTGCTCATCTCCGTGAGTTGGACTTGTAGGGACGACCGTCACTGGCCGGGCTTCCAACACAGGTAGAACCGTCACTGGAAACAAAATACTTCTATTGATTCTGCTCCTACACAAATTAGGGCTAGTTAGCAATACCTTTATATTTGAACGTAGTTAAGTAATGTTACAAGATGAAATGAACCATACGTGTGTTGAATTAAAAGGCATATATGTGTGTGCGTATGTGCCTGTCTGCCTCTCTCTCTCTCTCTCTCTCTCTGTGTGTGTGTGTGTGTGTGTGTGTGTGTGTGTGTGTGTGTGTGTGTCTGCCCGTCTCTCTTACTCTCTCTCTCTCTCTCTCTCTCTTTCTTACTCTCTCTCTCTCTCTTACTTTCTTACTCTCTCTCTCTCTCTATCACTCTCTTACTCTCTTGCTCTCTCTTTCTCTCTCTGTATGTATGTGTCTGTGTGGGTGGGAGCGGGGAGAGGTTTAGTTGTAAAAAGCTATTCATAGTTACGTATGTAAATATCACAGACTTACCTATTGGAGTCCACCAGAACAGTAGCGCCGGAAACAGGCAGACCAAAAATCTAATCATCGTTGACCAAAGGAAATCTCGCCAGCAAGAGTAAAAACACACACCCACAAAACAGAGGTATCGTCGAATGAAAAAACACAGCAACAATGGCGTGGTCAGCAAACGTGTTAATCGGTAGAACTAGGTTATTTCAGGGTTTTCATTTCCAACGCTCCAGAGAACAGATGATGTTCTACCAAATTAGGACCGTTTGTCGTGGATACTGTTGCGAAGCTTGGCCTAATTAGCACGCTTAGCCGCAGTTCCGTGTCAAAACCGGTGTCCATCATTTTTATATTTTCACAGGGACAGTCCGGAAAGATTAGCAGAGCCGTCAGGTAGAGTGATGTTCTATTGGCAACAACTGTAATTTCTGTTTATTGCTGTGCATGTCTCATTTAATGTGTATGTGTATATTTTGTATGTATTTTGTCACTTGGTTATCAATAAAATTTTGAAAATGAAAATGAAACAAGAAGCCATAGGCGACAATTCTCCGTGAAGTATTATATATTGCAACAAAAAGAAGTAGCCATTGTCGACAATTCTCTGTGAAGTGTCATAAATCGAACAAAGAAAAATTGTTTAAACGCGCGTCGGCTCAGTCATCTTAAGACGCAACGACCAATCAGAGATGCGAAATGCCGACACGTGACGCGGGATTTGCATACAGTCTAAACAACGGGGAAGGGCGCGCGATGCCCGAAATATTGTTGCGTCAATATTCAGCGCCGTGTTTCAAGAGATTAATACCGGGAAACAATTTCTTTTCTTGTTTTGAACGCATAAACATGCATTTAGGCTAATCTAGTATGATCCAGGGTTACTTTTTTTTACCTGCCATGGCCAGATTATCTAAAGATGTGTGTATTGTGTGTACAATCTACAGAAAGAGAAATGTACATCAGGTCCGATCATCCGATTTTCACGTTTCGGTTTTTTGAACTCGGTTCATGAACGTATTTTGGTTTGGCTCCTGGAATGTGCGAATGTGCGAAAAAAAAATGACTCCCGGGACTGTCTACAGGGAACACTCGCATATTGCCCAACATTCGCGGTGTATCAGGACAGCGCGACTGGCCAAGCAACCAGTCGGCATTAGCGCATCGGCAGTCCCTGTAATTAGTAACAGTTGCACATCAATCCGGCCGAAAGCATGATTGTGTAACACAGGCTACTTCTTCATATACCGGCTCATACTACAAGACGCCTTTACAAATCATAAAATTACCCGATCTACTAGTATGTGCGGTTTACCAGCCCCAGACCACATCCGACCACGAGGCAGAACACATTGATGGGTTGCTAAAAAATATTGTCCATGTTTACAAAGAGCTGCTCCACTAACACTATGGGGCGGCCCAACCCAAAAATATTGGCCATGTGTACATACAGTGAAGCCGCCAGCATGCTCGTTGCTAGGACGACCGGCCAGTTGCTACGTGACTAAATACACGCCGCCACTAGGTCGCCACAGCCGACCAGTTTGAAATCGATAGGATTACGTCATCGGTATTTACATTTCGTAATGTTGACCTCTGACCACCCCACATTTCCGTCCCCATCAGCCTGACCGCCACTTACTAAGTACTACCGGTCACATAAACGGACGAAAACATATTTCAACGACATGGGGATGTTTCGAAAATAAGCATTTACTCAAATATCAAAACAGCTACGGTAAAAATAAAAAGACGTGCATCATCCCGGACATAATGCCACACCACATGCGAAATTACATAAAAATGCGACGTACGGAAGAATGCGTTTTGGCTGCGAACATCTTCCAAAAAACTTGGCATCTCTTAACCATGGGCAAAAACATCTGGAACCACTTATCAAAACCACCCCGTATCTGCATGAAGTTCCACCACCCCCCACTGCCATTCCAAACAACGCGTTTTTCTGGACCATTCCAACTCGCCTCGTAATTGTAGGGGTGCATCTGCAATATTACATTGACCGCGAAAGCAGCGACGGCAAAAATACACATTCGTGCATCAACACGGGCATGCCCGCAGACGGCGTATAAAATTGCGTGCCGATTACACAAAGAGAACCCAGTGTTTTGACTGCGAACACGAAAAATCAGCCGATCACAACACTCCGTCCGGAGGTCCTGACCTCCTTCACGGAGTAAAAAGAGCCGTCAGGTCGTGTGTGAACTACCTTGAGATGGGTGGTAAAATGGTGAGGTGAAGGTTTTAGTAGCCTGACTAAATCTGCGCTCCTAGCGGCCGGCCCGGTATTACACCAGCCGCTAGGAGCGCAGATTTAGTCAGGCTAAAGGTTTTAGGATGAAACATTATCTTCTTCTCTTCTTCGGTCTTCCTCGTCACGAGTCAGTAACTGAAATGGAAACACTGTGAGGAGTAAACGTGTTCTGTTTCCAGTGCTGTTTGTCAGACATTGCAGACAGACGTTCAGGTACTTACAGGTCATGACGGAAGATATATGTACGACGCGATTATCAAATTGTATCCTATCTATTATTACTGAACAACACTGCATGGATACTATGTATCACAAATATCACGTATTCTTGTATACATTTTTGACAACGTTTTTATTTGTAGCGCCGTATGTACACATGCACACATCCCCCATTGGAGGGTATTTCAGCACCAAGGTGCAGTTACGTACTCATCCACCCTAGCCTGGTTACCAAACCTATTATAGCTCCCGAGTCTTACATCAGAAGCTGTAATACGTTTGACAATCAGGCTACATCCATCCTACAATAGTTCCTGGAAAATCGAATTTTTGTCAGGACTCCGGCCGCAAATTCAATCTTCAGCCGAATCGAATTTTTTGCCAGTTTCTATTTTTATTTTCTTCAGTCCGCTGGTGGGGACAATGTCGTTATGGTGACTATGCCATGTGTGCCCCTGCCACGTGTGTCCCAGCTAGCATGCAACGGGCTTTTCCTCTCCTCATTCATAAAGAAAAAATGATGGGGAAAACGAGAGCATCCTTTCCACAAACTATGATGTCAAAATAACCTAGAAACGTCACCTAGATACGTCGATGATGGGTAGACATCCAGGCAATGAGATACGCCAAAAAGCAGTTACTCAAGCAACTGGATATGATTTTGGAAATCCAAAATCATATCAAGTTAGCTGCACTTAGGTGCACCTGTTCCACCATGCCCTCCATGTATATTATGTATGTGGTTAATTGTAATAAATAAATAAATAAATAAGTTGCTTGTGTGTAACTGCTTTTTGGCGAAACTTCACCTAGCTTACGAAGGATGCATACTGCAAGGTGATTTGGAACACTGATTAAAATCACCTTGGCAGTTTCAACATAATCCCAGTCACGGGTACAAGTTAGCCTTTTTCGCAAACTTGGGTATCGGCGTTATTTTTTTCTGTGAGCGACGCGAGTAATATGCCGCGGAGGGACGATTTTGCTGCCGAGGAAGTTTTTGTCGTGGAGAGAAGGTTTCGCGCGAAAATCGTCCCTCCGCGGCATATTACTCGCTTCGCTCACAGAAATAAATAATGCCGATGCCCAACAAGTCTGCGAAGGAGGCTAGATACAAGCGTGCGAAGGCCGGCCTATGCACAGCGCACAGACGCTCAATCGAGCGAAAACACGTTAAGTCTAATCCGATATGAGTATTAAGACGACAAGTTCAAGCTCTTGTACCTCAGGGGCAGTGGGGGTGACGTAACGCTACCTATTATCGTCCACTTATTTCGAGGCATATCGAGGTGTATTATGCAAAGCCAGTTCTCATGAGCAATAAACAACGACATAAATGTGGCCCTTAGTTATGACTCTGAGTGAGTGAGTGAGTGATTGAGTGAATGAGGGAGTGAGGGAGGGAGGGAGGGAGGGAGTGGGTAAGTGAGTGAGTGGGTGAGTGAGTGAGTGAGTGAGTGAGTGAGTGAGTGAGTGAGTGAGTGAGTGAGTGAGTGAGTGATTGAGAGCGTGGGTGCACCCTATCATAAATTCGAAGCGTCGAAGCTTCTCACTTCATTGTTCTTAACCATGTAGATTTAGTCTCCACCAGATCCTTTGCAGGCTGAATAAATAGTAGGTAAAAGGGTAACTGGTCCGGGAAATAGAGGGTCCAAGAAAGCAGATTGGACCCTCTGTGGCCAGTTGCATCCCTTGTAGGTCGATTTCTACTATTTATTCGGCCTGCAAAGGAGTCTGTTGGAGACTAAACGCAGATCCCCACAGGAAAAATACTATATTCCGCCATATTAATAACCGTGTGTGGCGCACTCGTTTCCCTGACTACGTATTAGGCCTGCGGATCTGTTCACAAGCTGTTTGAAGTACTCCTAACCGCAGCAGTAATGACTCGGACGCGATAAGCCGTAGATCGATTGGAGGATAAACCGTGTTCTGGGACGTGTTGCTTGCTTTTTTTGGCGTTTCATTTTTTTCTCTCTCGAGAAAAAAAATGATGAATCGCTACATCATCTGCCTGTTGCCAAGTCTGCTGTTCTGGTGGGCACCGATAGGTATGTGTTTTCTCCTCTTGTTTTTTTTTTTTGTCTGTGCCCATGATGTTTTTTTTTTTTGCTTCATGACCCACGCGTACGCGACATGCATGTTTATTTAAAAATGTTGAGCGACCTTTTTATTGCCATGACGAAAAAGTACAGGGATTGACCTCTACAGCTATAGATGCAGAAAAGCAAATGCCATGGGTTTTAAAACATGCCAATGGCGCCAACGTACATGTAGATGAGTAAATTGTCGTAGTCGTCGTCGTCGTACGTTGTATATCAAGATTTCAAGGTGATCTGGTGGTTTGGGTTTGAATTAGAACCTAAAGATTCTGGGTTCTGTGCCTTAGTAAAGGTTTTTTACACCTATTTCCTCACTGGACTCAGGAGTAGGTCTTTAGAGGCTCTTTACACATATTTTCTCATTGGACTCAGGTACAAATAAATACCTAGCTCTGGTTAGAGCTGGTCCGTTTCTGTTGAATATCCTACCGCGCTCACCGAAAAGAGAAGGGGGTCCGTTTCGGTTTGCGTGGATCAAAGCTTGTTTGTTTGTTTGTTTGTTTATAATCTCCATTAGTAATACGAACCTGTATACTAATATTCCTTGTTTAGTCCTTGGTTTCAATACAGTACATGGCAATACAATAGAAAGCAAATTGCAACATTATACAATACCTCAGGTTACAATAAAATAAAAGTCTGGTATATCCACATTTAATCCTAAAATACATAACGATTAATACGAACAGTAAATATGATAAAAGAACGGCTGTAGCAGGGAGTTCAGAGGTACACATGTATAGGTTTACACGTGTGTTTTTTACCGCCATGAATCCAAACGGGGTCCCATATGTTTGTGTGTCTGTCCACTTTTTGATGCTTTCCCTTAATACGTGCGGATGCTTTCTGATGTGAGTCGAATGGGTTTTTTTCCACAATTCTTCATTCATAAGAAGTTCAAATCGGCCTGCAGATCATTGTTATTGAGGTAATGAGGGAAGAGTTAAGAGTCAGGCCTAGTATAGAATTTACATCATTTAAATCTATACTCATATTTTGCTCATACATAGTAAAAGAACATGTATTATCTCTAGGATAGGATAGGTTGTTACGTTTCTTTCGACGAATTTTCTGGTTTTCTGGTGCGTAAGCATAGATTCAATTTTCTGTAATTGTTTAAAAACACAATTATCCTGTTTTCCACCTTGCTATTTTGTGAAAGAGCGTCGGCTGTTTGCTTCTTTTTCTTCGGAAGTCTTCTTTGGCTGTTTGCCAGTTTAACCGCTCGTATAGGTTGTCTAATCTGGCTTTAAAGATGGCGTTTTTGGCCAAACCCACGGCTCGATTTTGGATAACATGTTATGTAGTGTGTCTGCTTGCGTTTGAGACGTAGCGCTAGCGGACAAGCATGCGGAGCCTGTAAGTAATATGTGACAACGTTTGTATGTTTTTAATGTTCGTGATGCAGGGACGGATGCGTAGTTTGCAACCATATACTTCGTTTGTCGCAACCTATCTATATACTCATATAGTACGTCACGATACACACTACTCGGATAAAATGTAATAAATTCGTTTCAGCAAGTAGACAGAAATAGATCACTGCACACCTTAAGTAGATTTCGGAGAGTAGACTTGAGTGAACAACACACACTGAGCCGGGCTGGTATATACTTTATATATACTTTAATAAGCGTAGAACAGCTAAAAGTCACAGGTGGGAGGTGGGAGGGTGTGACCTGCCCCTGGCCTCGTCGTGTGGGACGGGGCCGCGTGTCATTAGGGGCCGGAGATCCGGTAGTTAATTACCTACTTTCATGCACGGGTGGTCCCAAAGATGCACATTTACCTGTTCGTCTGTAAATAACATATACCAAGCTGGGCGTGTTTACTTTAATGAGCGGAAAAAAGAGCCCAAATCACCCGGATCCCTGACCGCCTGGTGTTAATCTCCAAGCAGATCCTAGGGTGGCAAAAAATAGTATCAAATTGGCCAGGCAGTGTCCATTCGCACGAAAAGTCATAAAAACTCCCCGCTGGGAGATCGTACGCCTGCTCTAGAAGTAACGTACGAAAATGGCGTACGCAAATTGGGACCCGTTTACATGGAGGGAAAACCTTTGCGTACGCCATTTTCGTACGCACGGATTTTGTCGCCGTGTAAACCGGGCCCACACAAGTTGTATGGACCCTCTCTGGCGAATGGATACCGCCGTTGGCCGATTTGATGCTGTCTTTTGCCACCCTAGGATCTGCTTGGAGATTAGTGTGGTGTCGGACTAAAGCCACGTGACGTCACAGGCTAGGCCGGAGACCTGGCAGCTAATGACATACCTTGATCAAGGAGATGTTATATACATTTATATAATGTCCCTGCTTTGATCCTTGGGGTTGCAAAAGATCCAATATGAGGGGGATTTGAACCCCCGCCAAAACTATGATTTCCAAATGAGAAACCCGTCATGTTATCACTTTTGCGTGTAAATGTGTCCAAACGAAACGTCATGTTATTTTTCAGTGGCGGTTCTACCTTTGGTGGAAGCCCGGCTAAAAGTAACCCCCACCATAACAATTCTGTTCAATTAGAAAGCTGTCAAGTCATCATTTGGTGTAAATGTGGCCGAACAAAACGTTGTCATGTTATTTTTCAGTGGCAGTCCTACCTTTGATGGAAGCCCGGCTAAAAGTAACCCCCACCAAAACAATTCTGTTCAATTAGAAAGCTGTCAAGTCATCATTTTGTGTAAATGTGGCCATCTGAAACGTTGTCATGTTATTTCCAGTGACTGTCCTACCTTTGATGGAAGCCCGGCCAAAAGTAACTGGTCCATCAAGACAATGCGATTCAATTAGAAAGCTGTAAAGTCATCATTTGGTGTAAATGTGGCCGAACAAAACGTTGTCATGTTATTTTTCAGTGGCAGTCCTACCTTTGATGGAAGCCCGGCTAAAAGTAACCCCCACCAAAACAATACTGTTCAATTAGAAAGCTGTCAAGTCATCATTTTGTGTGAATTTGGAAAAACGAAACTTTGTCATGTTATTTTTCAGTGACTGTCCTACCTTTGCTGGAAGCCCGCCCACAAGTGACGGTCGCTCCTACCAGTCAAACTCACGGGGATGAGCACACCTCTGTGTCACCTGATGGTTCGTACTGGACAGATTCTGGTAAGAGATATTTCTAGTGTGCCTAAATGTGTTTCTGGCTAGCTGCCACGTACACCATTACTGTCAAACGTGTTTTAATAGCGAGCACAAGAGGGACTTAGCGAAAATGGTCACGGCGTGTAAGTGACTTCTATAGGCTCTCAATGTTTGGATCAAGGACAAAAATGACATTAGGTTCCACCAAAAGTGACAGATGTAGTGGACTTTATAAAGCTCTATATATACGCTGCTATTTACGTACATTTTATGTGGCTTTTCAGTGTTAAAACACTTGGGAGGAAAGTGCGCATATGCGTACATATGTCGAATTATCAGACATATTGTCTATGACAACATGTTGATCTTGAAGTAGAAAATGTAACCATAATGTAGCCGTAACAATTAATCTGTGACAAATCATTTCTGTGCAGTCAGTTATTGAAGAATGCCGAATTTGTTGCTTTGCGAGGTACCGTATGTGGGGTCGCGTGGCGTAACGACAGAGTGCTCGACTCGGAACCAAGAGGTCCCGGGTTCGAGTCCTGGCATGTCAAAGATCTTTTGTCATCACCACGCCTTTTAATTGCATGTTGGAATATCAAAAAAAATGTACCGTAATATTTTTAGGGAGGGCTTTTACGAAGAAATAAAAAAAGATGTAACCATAATGAAACCGTAACAATTAATCTGTAACAATCTGTAACAATTATTTCTGTGCAGTCCGTTGAAGGAATTGAAGATTGCCGTTTGTTTACTTGCGAAGTCTTATTAGCTTATGACGCAAATGCACCGTTATATTTTTAGGGGCGGCTTCGTCAACGGCTTTCTACGAATCCCATGACTATGGCGAAGAACCGGACAACGTCACAATGGGTAAGTGGCTCTATTCATATCTATTTTTATAGTTCGGGCAAAAGAAAGAAGAAGACCTTTATTGTACATTTTTTTACCCCACTGGGCTAAGCAAGCACAGGTCACATGATTACATTACAACAATACAGACACACACACACACACACACACACACACACACACACACACACACACACACACACACACACACACACGCTTCTTGGTAATTGTATGAATGTATGAGACTGTATAAGAAGTTAAATTTGATTTATCAACGATTAACAGGAATATAAATTTTGTTGTCAAGTATTCCCTTGATTACGTATACCGGCCCCCGTCTCTGTTCAAGTGACGTGAGCAACAGGTCAAAGGTGATCAGAAGTCGGTATCGACCCCCGTCTCTGTTCAGGGAAGGTTGCATAATGGCCCCTGGTGTATGTCCAATAAGAACACCAGATAACAGATTATGTAACATCGATGTACAGACTAAAAAAGTGTGTAAAACTATGCATATTCACATTATACGAGCTGCTTTTATGGCAGGTCTGTATTGATTTTTCTCACTAGTGCTCCTGTATTGGTCTCTAATCACAGGTGACCCACTAGTTGCCTCCACATGGTCCCTGCATGGAGTGGCGATCCGCTCTACAGTGACCGGCGTCTTCAGCGTGGTGGGTACCATCGGCAACGGTCTGGTCATCCTAGCCTTCTGCACCTACAAGCAGGTAAATAACAGTTTTCACTACCGGCAGTCGAACACCCCAGTCAACATTTTTTGTACTTTCGGTCACAGCCATTTGTTTTTCATGAGCCGACGTTACGATGGCCTTCTGTCATCTTCACCAGGGCTAATATGACTGTTTTAATGTGCACTGTGCAAAGGGAATCTATTCAGAAGTTTGGTCTGCACACAGCAAATTACCTTTACCCCTCAAGTACGGTCTGTACATGTCCTGAACAAAGGACTGTGGATGTCCCGAAATGATCCTGGTTACTTTCATGGTCTTATAAGAACGACGAAATGCCTACTACTACTATAATGTGCACTGAAGCTAGGTGTTGCTGTAATAATGCAGTTACTACTCAATCATTTACCAACCTGGAGAAATTATTCACGAATTTCTCGTGATTGTTTTGATGCCAGGATGCCCGGTCGTTTCCTTGTATATTCCTTTATGACCCTGCTCAATTATCTGCACGTAATGAACTAAGAAGGCTGTTTTTTTCCACAGGTACGGACCTCCGCCCACACCTTCATCCTGAGCATCAGCATCAGTGACATCATGATGACCGGTTTCCAGTATCCAACAGCGATGGCCTCCATGATCATCGGTGCTCCTGCTCTGGGAGAAACCCTGTGCCCCATGGTGGGCGCCTTGTTATGCTTAAGTATCTACGTATCGTTCTTATCTATGGTCCTGATTGCCTTCAACAGATGCATGCACATCACAAAGTCACCAAGTACATACAGGAAGCTGTTCACCCCGGTCAAGTCGTTCTTGTGGGTTTTGTTGTCGTGGGTTGTGGCTGGGTTGTTGCTAATTCCGGGGTTTCTCGGCTATGGCGAATTCGGTTGGAGCAAGTACCAGCTCTGCAGCATAGTGCACGAACACCCGTACAGTCCGTATTACATGTCCAACGTCTTCGGAATCACCTATTGCATTGTGTTCTTTGTAGTCGCCGGCATTTACACCAGAATCTACTTCTTCGTGAAAGATTCTGTGGTGACCATGGCCGCAGCGAATCTAAACCTTGTCAATCGCAATCAGTACGTGTCCAAAAGAGTGATCAAACAGACCAAACACATGTTCATCATCTTCAGCGCGTTCACAGTCAGCACGGCCCCCAGTGTCCTGTTGTACATGATCAATGTGCACGACAGCTTCTTCCCCTTTGAGGTGATCTATGTGGTGTTCATCGTGTACCGCCTGAACCACGTCCTCAATCCGTTTCTGTTCGCCTGGAAGCTGCGCGTGTTTCGGCGCGCGTTTAAGGCCCTCCTACAATGCAAGCGGCAGCTGCCCTTCCAACCGGGAGACGGTCCTCAATTCTAGATTCACTGCACAAATTAAATGCATCCTTTACGCACACCTTGATTAAAACATGCGTAAATGTTTCTTTTCTTCACTCACTTGTATCTTTACGCATGCTTTAATCCGTGATTAAAGATGCGATTCCGTGCAGTGGATATGTATTGTACAACCCGCTGGGTTAACAGTACAGGCCACAACAAAGGAATAGCTTACAGACGCATGTATTACATCGTCAAGCGAGAACGAGTACGTCAGTACAGACTAACAAGTGGCTTTATTTTTTTCTCGCATCTTAGTGAGCGTGGAAATGAAAGATATGTGTTATGATTTGTCTCATTAGAAATTTAAATTTCTATTACTTTATTTCTGGTGTATAAAGTTAGTGATCGTATCAGTCTATAAAGAGATGGCTGGTCCATTGGTAGTGCTGTGTGTTCAACTGGCTTTGCCACTTTTCTAGGATAGCTTAGAAATTTTCAGAAAACAAATTTAACTTGCTTAGATAACCTCAAAGCAATACAGAGTTTTAGGCTTGTAAAAAATACAATTTTACTAAACTACGAAGCGCTGTAATGTCATGGTGATTTTGCCTTCAAATTTGCTCCATGTACATAAAATATATAACCATACTTGCTATCAAATGCATGTTTGTACAATTTTTGATCTACTTACTATTTTTCTAAATTTTGACAAAGAAAATAATCATGAGTCATATCTAAGATACGACATATGAAAAAGAAAGTAGACCCTTAAAGTAGGCCTTATTTTGGACATATAAAAAATGAACATATGGAGGTAAAACTCATTTTTCAGCAGAGGTAATCCAGATACATTTCTGGTGATATAACAAAATGCCACCCCTTGTCATATAACGATGAAAGGCAAGAACAGTGTAAGGTCCGTTGGTTGATCTTTCTGTACAAAGCAACAAGTCAGCTTGTTTCTGCACATCAAAGTTTTAGGTCGGTGCAGATAAAAACATTATTACTGCGATAATTCCATGAAAAAAACGACAGACGTAGGTTCTTTAATGGGAAAATTGCATTTTCACATTGGCATTTTCAAAGGCAGTAAGGGCCTTTCATGTGTTTCAATGTGATTTTTCACATCTCTCTCTGGTTGTCCATCGTTTCCGATGATGACTGCTGTGCACAGCCCGTCAGGTGGGGTGGATCCTCTGGTGGCTTCTTAGCCCAAAGGCTGAGGCACACAGCTTCCCGCACCTGCTGCACTGGTATTCTGTAGTACTAGTAGTTGCTGTCCTATGACACTTCTCCCTCACAGCTTCGAGGCGTCTCCTCCTTTCCTCCTCGAACGCAGATGTGGCCTTTGTCACAAGAGCCCTCCAGGCTGGCCGATCAGCGGCAGCTGCCTCAAACTCGGATGGCTTGATGCCACACCACTGGAGGTTGTTCTTAAGTACATCTTTGTATCTCAGTTTTGGCCTACCCCTACGGCGGGAACCCAGCTTACGCCGAAAACAACATGAGAGGAGAGGCCCAAAAACTTGATAAAGATTTTACGCAGACCGGCAATAGATAAAACCTTATTACTACCATAACGTCACTGAAGAGGTAATTGTCTTATTTTTTCTATTAGGCAACTTGGAAGTACAGATTAGTCATAGATGTGATTTTCAGAAATTACGCCCACAAGAACTAGAGAGGAGAGGCTCCAAAACTGTACGCAGACAAACGGTAGAGAAAAGCGTTATGCGCGTCAGTTTAGTTACACAGTCAAGCGTTGCCGTTTTCTTAGATTTACCACTAAACGTTGTCGGCACTCCTAAATTTACCGTTAAGAATTGTCGACTTTCCTAAATTTGTCTGGGCGCCCCCCATGAAGACCCTCTTTTTGTACTGTACGTGATGGCTAGGAGCAGCGTAATCTTGCGCATGCGCCGCGTCCGCTAGGACGTTTTCGGACATGACAGTTTACATCCCTTAGAAAACGTTCTTTTGAGCAACAAACGAAGCAAAAAAACAACAACAAACAAACAAACTAAAAGTTCTAAACGGTAACTATGCGGCTCCAGATGCCTTACTATACTGAGCGATGACTGGGTGAAAGATATCGGTTAGCTTGAGGAATGAATCCACTCTACTATACAATGGTAATGTAATTGCAACGTATATTTGTGGTGTCATGAATGAATTTGTGGTAAGAGCTCGCTGTAAGGCAAACCTGATAATATCTTCTATAGAGGTTAGACATCCAGGTATTGAAATAAAGTTACTGACGTTAAGTAGTTATTAGTTGAAACGTCTAACTGTTTCAAAATCTATCCAGCTGCTTGAGTAACAATTGCCGTGTGTATCTTATAACATCTTGCAATAGTATGGTATCATGACTAAACTTTGTCATGTCTTGTCAGTAGGTCAAGCCCTTTGGCAAGCTGGGCTGCCCTGGCTGTGATGGTTAAAAAGCCAAACCGATAAATAAATAAAAAATCATGATTATGCACTGTTTGTAAGGTTGTATGGACCTGTTGCAACGCCTGAGCCTGAAATAGACAATACACATGTATATGTGCTGGTTTGCACCTTGGCGTAGAACCATCTTAGCACAAATGGCTCATTCGATATTTACATACACATGCATGGGAGTCATATAATGATGCATAGTGGAATCTTCATGTATACATTAGTTTTAATAGAAAGACAAATCTATTGAATGAACAAAATGTACAACGTGGGTGTCATCGTTATATGCGATACGCTTTGCATTTGACTAACGAAAATAAAGAGTCTTATTCAGGTTCAATCAAAGTTTGTTTGTTTGTTTGTTTATTTAGAATCTCCATTGTTTACAATACAATACATAGCAATACAATACAATATAATACAATGCAATTACAATACAATACAATACAATACAATACGCGACAGAGAAAGAAGGAAGGAAGGAAAGCGACAGAGAAAGAAGGAAGGAAGGAAGGAAAGCGACAGAGAGAAAAAGGAACAAACAAACAAGGACAGGGCGGTCATACCGGATGAAATGGACTTGGGTTTGGGATTATTTTGTGCCCCTTTTCATGTGCATTGCTTCCTGCTATCAAAGTAGGCAAAGCGAAATGGACAAATATGAATTAAGAACTATGAAATTTACAAAGGCTTCCGTGTCCATTAAGACCGATAGGTCGGTGTTAGAAAAGCAGTTGATTCAAAGCATCATCTGACAGATTATTGATGCCTTTAAACAAACCTATCAGCCTTTTTAAATTGCCGAAGAGCTCGAGGCTTAGAATTTGCAGGATTTTGATCGTTTTAAGTGTTACTAGGCGTAATTGAAAACTGGAAACGCCAGAGTGACACAGGAAGCCGCCCCCGTGTAGAAAGAAAGAGGTACACGTGTGTCGGTCACAGAGAAAGAGTTTCTGATTATTGCTTAAAAACCACCCCATGCCTTTACGTGTATATTGATAGCCTCTATTACGTGTATAACTGGATTTTCACATGGGAGTTGGTCCGCGTTATAAGAGAACAGTATTTTTTTATTGTTCATACATTAAAGAAGGTAATACAACACAAAGGGGTAGCACACTCACGTAGCTAAGGCTTATTCTAACGCTACCACTTAGACATAATGAAAGGATAAATTAACGAAAACGAATCCAATATAACTGAGGAAATACAGATGATAATACATATGTAACACAACATAATAAAGAACAAGGATGTTGGAAGCACATGGCAAATTTCCCACTCAATGACGAACGCAGAATGAAAAGTAGGACACCATGTACAATACAAGGAAAAATGGACAATTTAGAAGCCTTTGTTGCGGTACTGAATTGTTTAGTAAACGACAAAATGGTTGAATTGGTAACTAACGGATAAATATAAGGGACTGGCGTGCCCCCAAATTCGAATCTACCAAGATCTTCAACTCTATCCTTTCTTTGTAATTTTATCAAAGCGTACCCTGGGGCGTAGCCTGAAGTGGTGGCGAATCTTGGGGAGCGGACAAAAGCTAACAAGGCTAGACTCCAGGCTGGGCGGGTGGAGAATTACTTTATGTAATGTTCGGGCCTTGGGAGTCCGTCCCCGACTCACACCCTTCCAGCTATATGATATCCGCTAGTGCGTCGCACTTTGCCACTGGATACGCAAGCCCCCTAGGTACGCCGCTTCAAATCTAGGCCACCTTTCATATCGTGCAACAGGATACGATGAAACGCAAAAAAAAAAATACATAAAAGCAGGTCCGTATTGTCTTGTCTTCAAACTAACAGGAAGAGCATACGTCATTCCTTGTTCTGCCTGGGGCTGCTAGAATGTCTCTCATTATTTACTCGTCCGCTTTGTTACAGACCACCTGGTGTTTTTTTATTTTATTTTTCCAAGTCGGCGCTGTTTTCCCTATTACCAGATACTGATTGCTATCAGATTGCTAATGCCTGCACAAGCGTGCGTCAATGGAGAATATAGAATTTAGAAATTGTATCAAAGCATGGCCACCTTTTCATCATATGGTACGACAAGATGTGATGAAACGCAAAAATACATGAAGGCTGTGAGTACGTATCGACTTGTGTTAATGAAACAAACACCCACGGAAAGGCTTCAGGGTGTAACAGTGTTTCTGACGACTTTTCCGGTCCTTCACTAATAAGATACAGACCTTTTGAAAATGATTTATTGAAATTGCAACAGTACAATACACGTGAAACATAGACAGGTGTTGCTGGTGTTGCAGCACACATAGAAACAAATACAGGACAAAATATACTCATTTTCACTTGAGTGAAGTGAAGAAAGTTGTGCAAAGTGCCTTCCCAAGGGCACAAGATCGTTTGCATGTCAGGACTCGAACCCGAGACCTCTTGGTTCCGAGTCGAGCACTCTGTCGTTGCCCCACACGACCCCACTAACTACATTTATAGCGGCAAGAAGCAGAACTCCAGTCAGAAGGTCGGAGGAAGGTGTCTGATAACGTAACCAAGGTAAGAGACAATACTGGTACAGTAAAAGAACATCACTATATCCAAGATCCAAGACCTGTGCTTCGTTACAGACCTC